AGGCGACAACATGGGCTTGTCGGGCAGTGGGACCACAAACACCAGCAGCAGCACGCACGACCCCCACCTGCTCAACCGCCAGAACCTGAGCAACTCGAACCGCCACGGCCCCATCCCCAACATCATCCTCACAGGTAAGGGGAGAGAGTGGGAAGGTGTAGCCTTGATTCTTGCCCAGATAAGCCTGGCGTCCGGCCCGCTTCCAAAGCTGCGCCAGGTCTCTGCTTCACAGTCCGCATTCCGATGCTCTGCGCAAACAGCAGAGTTTTAGCAGCGTTCAGAGAAAGCTTCTGGGCGTCAGTGTGCATAAAACAAAATCTCACACAGAGGTACTAATAACTAAAAGCAGCTTTATTTACAGCAAAGCTGTCCATTGTCTTAACACAGCATACAGCATCGTGAGACACGTCTGCTTCACGTAAAAGCGAAATAATAATAATAATAATAATAATAATAATAAATTTTATTTATATCCCGCCCTCCCAGCCGAAGCCGGGCTCAGGGCGGCTAACAACAATAAAACAGTACAACACAACAAAACACTCTAAATCATTCATTAGCAGAATAGAACAAAGGACTGAGACTCTCGGAAGTGACGCAGAGTCTCTCCACCCCACAGTAGGCAGGACGTACACTCTGAGCTGTTTAACCCTGTAAGCTCAGGTTCTCCTTACAGGAGGAGGGAGCAAAACCCACCTCGGGGTGGGTGGGTGGGGGAAATATCTTGACAGGTAGCCTAATATTTTCGGGCAGGAAAAGCAAGAGCATAGAGGCAATTGTCCAGATCCGCTGTCTGAAACAACTGCGTTTCTTGTGCAAGGCCATCTCTGGGAACTGCAGAGGCAAAGCATAGCCATCGTGGTTAGTTTAATTTATTTATTAAATTTCTGCGCCACCCTTCATCCAAAGATCTCGTGGTGGTTCGCAAGATAAAAATGAAGGATAAAATCACAAATAAATAGAACGAAAGCAAAATAGGATAGCAGCACGCACACCCACACCCCAGACAAATTTAAAAGACTGTTGAATATTGATCAGCCCGAGGCCCGGTGGAAGAGGGAACGTTTTTGCTTGGCGAAATAGCATGAAGGTGCCAGACAAACCTCCCTCGGGAAAGTGTAACACCAATTATAGTAGCCTTTGATAGATGAATTTGTCTAATGATTTTATTATTTGTACTCTTCCCATCTCAGTTGCCCCAGCCCCTCTGGGCGGCTTCCAACACATATAAAAATATACTAGAACATCGAACATTAAAAACTTCCCTAAACAGGGCTGCCTTCAGATGTCTTCTAAAAGTTGTTTAGTTCTTTACCTCCTTGACATCTAATGGGAGAGCGTTCCACAGGGCGGGCGCCACCACCTAGAAGGCCCTCTGCCTGGTTCCCTGTAACTTCACTTCTCGCAGGGAGGGAACAGCCAGAAGGCCCTCGGAGCTGGACCTCAGTGTCTGGGCTGAATGATTAGGGTGGAGACGCTCCTTCAGGGATACTGGGCCAAGGCTGCTTAGGGCTTTAAAAGCACCGACACTTTGAATTGTGCTCAGAAACATACTAGGAGTCTGTGTAGATCCTTCAGGACCGGTGTTATACTGTCCCGGAAGCCTCTCTGAGTCATCAGTCCAGCTGCTGCATTCTGGATTAGTTGTAGTTCCCGAGTCGCCTTCAAAGGTGGCCCCACGTAGAATTCCACAGTTTAACTACCGTAGATTCCGGCGTATAAGATGACTTTTTAAGCCTGGAAAATCCTCTAAAAAGTCAGGGTCGTCTTATACACCAGATATGGGTTCGCTGGGCAGCAGCAGTGGGTGGCGGGCTCCGCTCCTCTCTGCTCTGCGCCATGCCGGAAGGAAGCCGTCCAGTGAAGCTGGCTTAGCATCGCTGGGAAGCTTCGCCGGGGGGCTTCCTCTTGGCGCGGAGCCCGCCGCCCACTGCCGCTACCCAGCGAGGCTGCCACATATAAGACTGGGCGTATAAGTCGACGCCCCCAAATTGGCAGCTGCCAATTGGGGGGGTCATCTTATACACCCCGTCGCCTAATACGCCGGAATCTATGGTATGCACCGTGTTAGGAAGAAACTTCTCTGTGTCTATACATCTCTTTTTGCTCTCCGATCCTTCCCTCCTCTAGGGGACTCCCCGCCCGGGATCTCCAGGGAGATTGCCACCGTCCTGGCGGGCATGCCGGGCTTTGAGATGGACTCCTCCTCCCTGGGTCTGGATGAGGACCTGAGGATCGAGCCGCTCACTTTGGACGGACTCAACATGCTGAGCGACCCCTACGCCCTGCTGACCGACCCGGCCGTCGAGGATTCTTTCCGCACCGACCGACTCCAGTGAAGGAAGGGAGAGGGCCGCAGCGCCGAGAAACGCCACCCCTGCGAGGTGGACCCTCTTGAGCCACGAAAAAACAAAAGGACGACTTTTTTTTTTTTTGCTTTCCTAAACCAGAGGCGCCGGGCAAGAGGGGCTGGGGACAGAAGAGATTGTGTTTGCCCGCCCTGCCTTTCCACCCCCAACTGCAGTGTCGCCATCCCCCTCCAAGCTTAAACGCCTCCTAGGGTGCTTTGGGACCGGACTTTGCAACCAGCACTTGCAATCCCAGGTGATAGGGGACCGGGGCAGGGGTCGACCCCCCCAGGGGCAGGGAAGACGCCTCTGCACTGTTTAGAGGCGGGGGGCAGACCACGAAAGTTTTCAGCATCCTTCCCAAAGCGGGAGAGAACGTACGCTATCTAGGTGTTAGTGTTCCAGTTACCTTGAATCGGGGTGTTGGGGGGGGCGCTCGCATTCGTGTGAATCCAAGTGTCTGCCCCCTCCCTCAAAATCAATTCCAGCCATTTCGTTCCCCCAAGTTTATTCCTGTGTATAATTCGTACCTGCACCCGATAGCTATAGAGACTTTTGTAGCGTGCAGAGCATTTTGTGGGGGGCGGGGCGGGTTACGTTCTCGTTTTCTCTCTCTCTTTTTTTGGCCTAATCATGTTTTTTTTTAATTTTATTTTAAAGAAAAGCAATTATGTACATAACTGCCCTTCTCTCCTGCCCCCCACCCTCTCCTCCTGAGCTGCCGTGTACATGTGGGGGAGAGGGGAAAAAAGGGGGGGCATTTCTCTTGTAAAGCACTTGTAACTTTGCATCCTTATCTGTCGTGAGGTCTGGCTTCTGTGCTTGAGTTCGGGGCGGAGGGGGGGAGCTCAAAGTAGGGGGGTCTGTGGTTGGGGTTCAGCCCATGCCTCACCTTTCCTTCCCTTCCGCCCCCACTGTGGAAGAGATAAACCAGAGTGGTTTTATTATTATTTTTTAAAATATATGTTAATTATAACAACATTCCGTCACTGGTTTTTGTGTGGTTTTCCGGGCGGCGGTTCATCCTGCCAGATCAGGGTGGGGACTGTCCCGGCCTCGGGTCCTCTTTTTTTCCAAAGCAGCTGCCCACAGCCAGCAAGGAAGGGGCTCAGGGCGACGCCTGAGCTACATTTCGCCCCCGGCGTCTGGTCTGCTTCTGACGCAAAACTTTGGGAGCCCACCCGCCCCTGGTTTTCAGAAGCCGCTTGCCACGTGGTCTCGGCAAAAGAGGAAAAACCGATGCAAAATTCTCCGGACCGGTTTCATGTGATCTTGAGTGGGATTCCTGGGCACACGAATTTACTAAGGGAAGTGCTGCCGGATGAGGCCCGTGGCCCATCTAGTCCCGCATCCCTGTTCTTTCAGGGGCCTCAATGGGGCACCCACAAGCCGAACCCGAGCGCGAGAGCAGCCTCCCCTCCTGCCATTTCCAGCTATCGGTATTCAGAAGGATACCATCTCTGACCCAGAGGCAGCTGAGGTGGCTTGAAGCAAATCAGAATATGGCAGCTCTTGGCCGCCTCATCTTCCGCAGCCAGAGAAGAAGAAGAAGAAGAAGAAGAAGAAGAAGAAGAAGAAGAAGAAGAAGAGGAGGAGGAGTTTGGATTTGATATCCCGCCTTTCACTCCCTTTAAGGAGTCTCAAAGCGGCTAACATTCTCCTTTCCCTTCCTCCCCCACAACAAACACTCTGTGAGGTGAGAGGGGCTGAGAGACTTCAGAGAAGTGTGACTAGCAGCCCAAGGTCACCCAGCAGCTGCATGTGGAGGAGCGGAGCTGCGAACCCGGTTCCCCAGATTATGAGACTACCGCTCTTAACCAGAGGGCAGCAGTGGTCTCCTCAGAGGCCGGATCTACTGCCTGGGGCGACTGCTGCACCTTGCCTCATGGGTGCGCTGGCTCTGCTCTGACCGTGGAGGTAGCTAGTAGCCATTCCTAGCCATATCCCCCAAGAATTTGCCCAGTCTTCTAAAAACATCTAAGTTCATGCCCGTTACTGGCATTTACAGAGTGAATTCCATAGTTAAAACAGCAGCACAGAGCTTTCAGCGACTCCTCTGCCCTTGATTTTAGCGTGCAGCTGTTCAGTTGGCCAACTAGATACCCCAATGCGAACCCAAACACAATGGCAACTCTGCGACTCTGGTGCCGATTATGGAGGCAGAACATCCTGGCTAGTGGTCACCGATTGCCTTATTCCTCCTCGAATTTTGCATTGGCCAAGAGCCTTATTCGTCCATGGTTTAGCTATACGAAGCAAGATCATTTGCATGGAAACAAAGTGCCCATAACTTTCCAGAAGCAAGACTAGGTAGTAACAAACTTTGGACTAAGCTAAGGTGTGACTGGTTGGCCTCCTTGCTATCCTTTCAGCCTCTTCCAGTTTCTGAGCATTGCTTGGCTTAAATTTTGATACGGAGTCTTCCCTGAAAGGCTTGTAAAAGATTTGCATGCCCTCCAACATTCCTTGGATGAAAATGTCCCTGTGATCACGTGAGGACTGTCAGAGGAGCTGCTTGATTGCACCAGCACTCAGGAATCCTGAGCTGATCAGGCTGTGGCCTGCGTTGTAACCACGTTAACTTGCTCCCCCATGCCTTTGCACTCAAGGTCTAGCTTCCCATTCAATAGATAAATAGCAGAAAGCTCCACATCTGAGATCCAGATTTTTTTTGGTAAGACTACAAAACTTGCGAGTGACACCTGCCGGGAGAATTATGCAGCCAGAGTGCCACCTGGTGGTGCCACAAAATTAAGTACACCTGCAAAATCTCCCTCCACCCCATTGTGTTGACCTTACCTGGCAGGTGAGTCTGAGTGCACTTTTAACTAGGTGAGTAAGGGCTCAGTCCCATGAGTGGTACTCCTTGAGGAGAAGGGCTCTGACATAGATGGTCCACTTGTCCATTTCAATAATAATAATAATAATAATAATAATAATAATAATAATAATAATTTTTATGTATACCCTGCCCACCCCAGCCAAGACCGGGCTCAGGGCGGCTAACACCTGGTATAAAAACAATTGATTAAAATACAACATAAAAACCAGATTAAAATACAACATTAAAATGCAGCCTCATTTCAGCAGAAACTCAAATCAAAAACTTTTTGGGGGATGAAAATGTCAAATCTTCACCAAGGCCAACTATCCAGACTGGTCTTACGTGGGCCAGAAAAAAGCCAAGGAAGTCCCCAAATAGGAGTTCCATCACAGAAGGAGAAAGGAAAGAGGGGGAGGGGGATCAAGTTGATTCCAAGCCAAAGGCCAGGCAGAACAATTTTGTCTTACAGGCCCTGCGGAAAGAAATCGGATCCTGCAGCCAAAGCCCAACCAGATTCCCCTGGAAAGCTCAGAACAGTGACGGACCAACATTTTTGGGTCCCTGAAGGTCAAACTGTTATGAGGGCCACTTTGCAACCAGCAATGGGTCTGGGTAACCACTGCTTTCTTCTTTACCACATCTGCACTACTGACTCTCAAACTTTGGGATTGTTGAAATATATACAGCAAAAGATAAATCGTGTGACTCAAATTGTGTCTACTAGACCGCAAAACGCTAAGCAACATGGACTAAATTTGCTTCTGGGGTCTCTCGGGGATGAGGCACTCTGAAGCTTAAACCTCATTGCTTTCATAGTAGATCCACTCCTGGCTCAGAAGCAGAGCAGGGAGGCAACAGCGCTCCCTGCTGTCGCCCTCCAGCAATTGCCACTGTGTTGAGAGATAGAGACTGAATCTGGGGGCTCTGCTTAGCTGCAGAAGGCAGGGAGGTGTGTCGCAAGCTGCTGTTGAAAAGGATCTATACCCAGGAAGAGAACCAGGTCAGTGGCAGAGAGCAACTGCTGTCCATACCGAAGGTCACAGGTTAAATCTCTGGCATCTCAGGGTAGAAATGGCAATGCCCCTGTCTGAAAACTGTAGAGCTGTTGCTGGACAATGTGGACAAGACTAAACCAGATCAGCCCAGCGGTCTGGGCTGGCTCCATGTTCTGTGTCGTCCCACACCCAAAAGGGCTTTCAGAATCCCACCCAGCAAATTTATTCTTGATGGTGTTCTTTAAAGGGGCTTCTGTTTCTGATCGTTGGCTGGGGTGTGTGTGAGACTAGGGGGTACAAACCCCTGCCCCCAGACTTTCCCCCTTGCCCATTCCCCACCCCTGACCCAAACCCTTCTCCCTTTATAATTCGTCCTCCCTTCCTACTCCCAAATCCCACCCCCTTTTGCTTGCTTCTTTAGCCCCTTCCATCTTTTTAACATGCACACTGCTTTTGTGGAACAACGGCTTGGTTTCTGTTCAGCGCTATTGTGTGAATCTTTTAAATTGCAAAACATGCTGCTGCAATGGTGTTGACTATGGACCTTCCAAGATTCCCTATTTTCCAGGGATTTACAGAAGCTGTCCCGGTTTCTGATTCGATCCTGGAATGTCCCATTTTCCCTTAGGACGTCCCTATTTTCATCGGAGAAATGTTGGAGGGTATGGAGTTCTCTTAACCACATAGCCATCTAAAGGCAGCCCTGTATAGAGAAGGTTTTCTTTTAATGTTTTGTGTACAGTGGTACCTCAGGTTACAGACGCTTCAGGTTACAGACTCCGCTAACCCAGAAATAGTGCTTCAGGTTAAGAACTTTGCTTCAGGATGAGAACAGAAATCGTGCTCCGGCCGCGCGGCAGCAGCAGGAGGCCCCATTAGCTAAAGTGGTGCTTCAGGTTAAGAACAGTTTCAGGTTAAGAACGGACCTCTGGAACGAATTAAGTACTTAACCCGAGGTACTAGTCTGTTGGAATCCGCCCAGAGTGGCTGGGGCAACCCAGTCAGATGGGCAGGGTATAAATAGATGATGATGATGATGATGACGATGACGATAATAGAATAGAAGGTGCTTATTTTCATCCGAAAAATGTTGGTGTGTGTGTGTGTGTGACACTAGAGCGCCAATGCTGAAGATGAGAAGAGGCCTGGCGATAGGTCTCAGCCACATCTTCAGGTAGGTATGAGAATTGTTGCTGGCCTGAAACTCTGGACAGCTTCTGCCAGCTTGGACCACCT